TCTATTTTATGGATGCATCCAAATTTTCAAACAGTTTGATCCGTTATCTCTATTTTATGGATGCATCCAAATTTTCAAACAGTTTGATCCGTTATCTCTATTTTATGGATGCATCCAAACTTTGAAACAGTTTGATCCGTTATCTCGATTTTATGAATACATCTAAACTTTTAAACAGTTTGATCCGTTGTCTCTATTCTGTGAATGCATCCAAACTTTCAAACAATTTGATCCGTTATCTATATTTTATGAATACATCCAAACTTTCAAAGATTTTGTTCAGATATCTCCTCACTGACTTGTTCATTCTATGAAAAGTTTGGAGGATTTTTCCAATATATTCGCATAACCATCACACATTAGTTTTGTTTTTATAAAGTTGCTGCTTAGAAACCGTAATGAAAATAACTGATCATACAAATCTTAGCTTTGCGTTTTCCTTGGTTTTATTTTAAACTTACTCTTCGTGTTTACATAGAACTAACACTAGATTAACTTATTTATACACTGAGCATTGAACACTAAACTTGAGATTAACTCATGTATACACTGAGCATTGACGCTAAACTTGAGATTAACTCGTGTATACACTGACATGCTCATGTATACACTGAGCATTGACGCTAAACTTGAGATTAACTCGTGTATACACTGAGCATTGACGCTAAACTTGAGATTAACTCGTGTATACACTGACACTATACTTTAGATTAACTCATGCATACACTGACACTAGACTTTAGATTAACTCATGTATACACTGACACTAAACTTGAGATTAACTCATGTATACACTGACACTATACTTTAAATTAACTCATGTATACATTGAACACTAAACTTTAGATTAACTCGTGTATACACTGACACTAAACTTTAGATTAACTCATGTATACACTGACAATAGACTTTAGATTAACTCATGTATACACTGACATTATACTTTAGATTAACTCTTGTATACACTGACACTAAACTTTAGATTAACTCGTGTATGCACTGAACACTAAACTTTAGATTAACTCGTGTAAACACTGAACACTAAACTTTAGATTAACTCGTGTAAACACTGACACTATAATTTGGATTAACTCGTGTATACACTGACACTAGACTTTAGATTAACTCGTGTATACACTGACACTATACTTTAGATTAACTCGTGTATACACTGACACTAGACTTTAGATTAACTCGTGTATACACTGACACTATACTTTAGATTAACTCATGTATACACTAAATACTAACACTAAACTTTAATTCATGTATACACTGAACACTAAACTTTAGATTAACTCTTACTTACATTTAGCACTAACACTAGACTTTAATTCACCTATAAGTTGAGCATTGACACTAGACTTTACATTAATTAACTAATGTATACATTAATCTGAACTTTGATAATTCATTAACCATTTACTAATGTGACTCTAAAGCGATTTTATTTGTTAATTCCTGATTTTTGTATTTTGTAATGATACTGAGATTTTTTTGACATTCTCATACTTAATAGATATTTGTTTGTTTGTTGTTAAGTACAGAGATACACTAGGAGCTACCTGTAATCTTACCATCGCGGTATTTAATTCAGATTTTCAGCGTAATTAGCCCTTAGATTTGCCGCTGAGCCACTGGGAGGCGTACTGAATGGAAACTTTTGAATACTGCAATAAACTTGGTTGTTGAAACAAATTATAGTTTTTTCTAACAAAAACAAAGAAACTTTTAGAGTATGTTTGACCTCACCTAAAATTTATCCTGGTATGGGTTAGGCCTAAATGTCAACATTGTTTTAGATAACGTTAGAGAGCTTTTAATCATCTTAGAAGTGTAGCATTGGTTTATACTGCGCCCATTATATCTTATATAGAGTAGAAACTTATGTCAGTCAAGTTGCTACGTTCGGTAGATGATAACATCAGGTGCTGCTGACTAGATTGGTTAGTATTTGCATAAGTTTGATGACTGATTCAAGATTATCACTCACTAGACCACAGTGAATGAATGAAGTTTTTACGGCTTGAAAAAAAAAACTTCCGGGATAAATCTCGAGAATCTTTCGGGCTACCAATTCTGGTTGGTAATGACCCGTTAACATGTAATGTAGGCGCTACCAATTCTGGTTGGTAATGACCCGTTACCATGTA